TTCATCCTCCCCTCCTCCCTCTACTGCCCTCCAGCTGCCACTGCAGCACAAGTGGAATGTCCGAGAATGTGCTCACTTGGTGTTTATATAGCCGTTGGGATGCTATCACGATCACGCCATTGAAAAACATTAATAGCTCAAGTCTTCATTTTGTCGCAAAGAGCGGGGGGGGGGGGACTCACGAAAAATAGGGCAGAAAATAAACAACGCAGGTTAGGTTAATTGTATTTCCAATATGTACGTGAAAAAACCGTAAATTAAAAACACTGCTCGTCAATTGCTTATGCCACCCCTGATTTTTTCAGTTTTCTGACTTATTTGGAAATTTCGTAAATCGGCATAGCAACCATCGTTTTCGGCGTGTCGGAAAACTAGAACGGTGTTGTTTGATTTTGGTTAACGCGTGGATTTGATTTGCTCTGTTCCGAAGGAAAATGGACCGCGTCAATTTCTTGTGACATCCCATGTTTCTTCGGAATTTCTCTTCTCTGAAAAGAATTGACGCGATCCTCTTTCTTTCGAAAAATCACAGCAAATCAAATGCCCGCGTCAATCAAAATCAAACAATATCATATCCTAGTTTTCCGACACGCCGGAAACACTGGTTGCTATGCCGTTTTACGAAAGTTCCAATCAAGTCACAAAACTGAAAAATTCAGTGGTGGCATCAGCAGTTCACGGCCAATGTAGAAAACAGGCTCTAATATTGAGAAGCACAATAGAAGAAATCAGTGAACAAGTAACAGCATTCAAGAGCAAGTATCAGGGTGCTCCTCTAAGGCTTAGTCGAAGAGGCAGTTACTATTTCGTCGCCACGTGGCAGTTTCGAAATACGCGCCATCGGCGGACTAAGCCTTGGAGGAGCAGACGAACAGAGCGCCGCGCCGCCGCGTGGTCCCCCCCCCAACTAAGTTAGCACCAGTAACAGCATAAAACCTTCTGCTAATTTTGATTGGAATGCCTAAATTCTGTCTCGACTTGCTGCCAGATATCCCAGAAATTGTCTTTCAGACACCACTGGAACACTGCAGATACGTTGGTGCCGAATATGCAGGAACGACTTGCTATCCATTGTACGACAAGCTGCTGATGTCTGTCCTCCTCACAATTGGGACGTTCACTTTGGCTATTACTTTCAAGGTAGTTTTTTCATGACCGGTGATTACGCTTATATTCTACCCACATTTGGCTCCGCACCTAACGTGTACATCAGCCGGAGTGTCTGCTACATAAAATGAAAGCCGCTGGAGCTTTTGATCGATTTCAGCTCTGCTTACCCCTGCGCAGGTCCCTTTTACCGTGACCATTGAACCTCTGCTCCTTCTTCGACCTCTGTCCGCCCTCTTACCATCTCCAGGCTGTCTCGAAACCGTATTGTGGATCTCTCATACATAGCGCCGTCCGTCTACCCGTGCCCGCTAAACATGTGCACCATGCCAATACCAAGTTCCAAACAACCATCTTCTCACATGTCATTTTTAAATCCAAATCGCAGTCCAGGCGCTTGAATCTGAGCGGAGTAGATATGGTAGCTCATTCCGTACTTAATGCTTTTACGCATTTTGGTTTTTTTCCTTGATTTTGTACTTTTTATATTCTTGACAAGGATGGTTCGGTAGGATTGCAAATAGAGCTTTTGAAAACGGTCTTTTGCATGATATAGGGGCACATGCGGGAACCACAGAACCATGTTAATTTTTCCTAAACGGCCCTCTGAATACCAGAAAAGGGGTCCCTAGTTCGATTCCTCGTGGTGACAAATTTTTGCATTTCGAGTTGACGTTTCCAAAATTCGCGCATAGGGGAGTCAGTAATCACGTCAACTCGAAATGCAAAAGTTTTTCACCACGACGAATCAAACCAGGGCCTCCTCCTTTTTGGTATCCAGAAAGCCGTTCAAGAAAAATTAACCACAGTTCTGTGGCTCTCCGCATCTGCCATTATATCATGCAAGAAACCGTTGAAAAAAGCTTGGCACCCCTGGAAGACCTGCTCCTGGTTACAACCAAGCAATGAGGTTTTGTAGCAAGCACCACATATTCACCGGAGGGTCTTCACATCCACCAACAACTGCTTACCTTCACCCATTTTTCCCGGTATTTGGGTTTTTGGCAGCGCAACGGTATAACTTTTGTTTCACAAGAATGCTGCGTTGTGAACAAAACTTTCGCCCCAGGCGGGACTAGAACCCGCACCTCTCGCTTTCCGGGCAAGTGCGCTACCAGTTACGCTACGCGTGGCACCATTTCATTCCCAACTCATTGAAATACACTGCGACGCATAATCTTAGTTCCACCTACAAATTTCCCAAAAACTAGAATTTGGAGATGTTTTTGAAAAGGGCTCTACAGACAAATTGTGACACATGCAAATGCGAATCTGAATATTATCACGGAAATCCAGTTTGAGAAAGCAAAAATTTTTTATCCTCATTTTTTCGAAAATACCCGACTTGCCTATGACGCAAAATCATAGTTCCACCACATGTTTCTCTGCTGCATTTTGCTTTTACCCAATCAAATTTTGAAATTATTACCCACTCAAGTCCCTTAGCTTATAGCAAAGGCAAAACCGCTGTCGAACTTCCGTAAACTTCCGTATGCGTCGCAGTGTATAACTTTTGTCTTATGGTTACTGCAAAGTACTCTAGAAGCTCTCACACGGAGGTGCGAGTTCAATGCGTAACTGTTCCGTATTGCAACAGTGCCACTTACTGGTTGCAGTGTTTCTCTTCGAGTTTTTCTTATGATTTCAGAGATCTAGCTAACATAATAGTATACTTTCAGAGGATGCGCAACTCATGCTATTTCCCGTCACGAGTTAGGCAGATATTCAGCGATTTTGCAGTCATGATATCCATTGTCATAATGACCTTCATCGATATGTCGGCTGGTGTGAACACTCCAAAGCTGCATGTGCCGGGCACGTTCCGTGTGAGTTGTTTTCTATTCTCGAATACTCTCCTAAGGTGGCAGCGCTTTTCTTACTCCGAACAACTTTTAGCCTACCTGGGATGGACGAGATTGGTTTATTCCTCCATTCGATGGAAATCCATTTTGGACTGCTCCTCTGGCAGCTTTACCTGCTTTGCTAGCGTGCATTCTGATATTCATGGATCAGCAAATCACCACTGTTATCGTAAACCGGAAGGAAAACAAGCTGAAAAAGGTAGGCATAAACGTGATCCAACTATATCAATTCACTTTGTATTTGAAATCCTGTGTTTAGGGATGTGGCTACCATTTGGATTTACTCGTGTTGGCTATTCTCATACTTATCGTCGGTGTGCTTGGTTTACCGATTTACGTAGCTGCGACTGTGCTCTCAATCAACCACATCAATTCGCTGAAGGTGGAAAGTGACTGCAAAGCTCCCGGAGAAGTAGCTCAATTTGTTGGTGTACGGTAAGTTAGGCGCAATCGTCTTTGGTATCGTAATGTAGTAAGAGCAAGTGTTTCAGGGAACAACGTGTAACTGGTATAGTGACATTTGTTATGATCGGTTTATCCGTGCTGATCACCAACTTCCTTGCAAAAATTCCGATGCCTGTTTTATACGGAGTGTTTCCTGTATATGGGTATATCGGCTCTGGGTGGTATTCAACTGTTCGACCGTATTCTTCTACTTTTGATGCCGATGAAGTAAGTTAAATGACATTTCTTTTTGAAAGTATACTTGAGTTCTCATTTGTTACCAATGGATCACAGGTTGTCACTAATGGGTCATCATTGTCGCCAGCAAACTGTAGTACCTGGTTTTATATGTAATATCTTTTCTCGTTGCTCTGAGATGCGCTCTTCTCTGGTTCGGGTTTTGTTGGCCTTATACGCCAGCGGTCACGATAATTTTTAAGGGGCTTAGGGGACCGTGGGGTGCTCATTGGTAAACTAATAGCGAAAAAAAACCAGGTAAATCCGCTAGAAAATCAAAACGAGGGCTTTCCCTTCGACCGCTGATTTTCGCTCATTGACGGGTAACGGCAATACAGCGAATGTATAGACGTGCTTACCGCAGCTGGTTTGGCGGGACCATGACAATCCTTGCCCCACTCGAGTTGTCCCAGTTGTGCTGCTGCTAGCAACACAGCTTGTCCGAGTCACCACTAAACTAGTGGGCGGATCGCTTTTGGGGTCGGAGTGCTTTCGAAGTTCTGCTCATCAACCAGCGCACCTTTCGTCGTGAAAGCGTCACATATCGCTTCCTTGGCAGCCAAGCAAATGTTCCGTGTGGTGCATATGTTTCCCCAATGCGCGGGGGATCATATTTATAGTGTAGCCTCTTGTGAGGTCTCTGTGGAGGCCTTTAGTTTTCTGTTGAGCTAATCTTAGCCCTCAAGCAAGTGAGCAAATCACTGCTGATCTACTTTCTTGTCCTTGAGAGAGGTTAACGCGTGCATGGAGAAATTGGCTTGTGGATGGACTTCAATCTTCACCTCTGATAACTACAACGCCTCCCAATGTTACATTACAATGAGTCAAAAAATTATGAAAACTTCGACAACCCAGCACATTCAGCTTGTGCTTTAAGAAGGAAAGGCATTGGGGTATTGAAGCTGAAAGAGCAAACTTTCATCTTTATAGCCACATTTCATCTTCCCCCACACCCGTAGTCCTCATTTTACGACCGGAAGTCCAATACACCTGTTCGTCATCAGCAAGTATCTTATTGTTAAAGACCGTCACATGAGAAGGTTGTCGATAATGTAACAACTCATCAGAAAGAACTTACTTGGCGTATTTCAGGTATCAGCCCGATACAATCTACATTCGTCACGTGCCTATCAAGAAGATTCATTTGTTCACAGCGTTCCAAGTTGGATGTCTAGCAGTTCTTTGGACGGTGAAATCTATCAAGACCACCTCGCTCACATTCCCAATCATGGTAAGATTCCAATAGATTCACTGTAGTTATAGCGCTGATTTCTTTAAAAGGGGTGAGTAGGTTCGTTTAGCTTACCATCAGGTGAGGGATATAAAAGATAGGGCAGATGCTTGTGTAGTCTCAGTGAACCTTTGTCGTTGGTTATTTTTTATCGTTTAAGCGTATGTGCGACTGCGGCTGACGGTGCGATTAGTGTCAGGATATCAGAATGAATACAATTCAATTCAAGATCCTCATCGGCTGAAGTGGCCTGAAAGACACTGGCTTTTGTGCTATCAGCATAGTGTGATATCCCAGCTAGTCAAACGCCATCTGTGTTAACGACTTCACTGTTATTGATTCAAGATGTCGGCACGGCTCCGCCTCAATCAACACCCAGTGTTCCGCTGAATTACGATTGTTTGAGGAACAAATTGGGATTGCTTTATTTCATCTTTTATAGTTGCCTTCGTTTCAACGGTTCTTGAACAGCGGCTTATCCATGCACTTTTTGAAGTCTGCTTTTGTTACCTATGCCATGATCCACCGCCATTCCTGTTCTAGAAAATAGTGGACGACATAAACGAAACCATAACCGACTACTTGATGCCGGTATTTCCGTTTCGCTTCACGCAGCTGGGGCCGTAAGGTATGCTTCCCCGAAGGGTTAGGGGACGAAAATCCCTTTAAATTTTCTCTGTCGTCCCAACTGGGATTGTCCTGATAAAGGGCCTACATTTAATATATGTGTGTTGCTTAAAGTAAACATGCATTGAGAATAAAGAAACAGTGTCGTTCAAAACAAAAAATTTAAAGGGACTTTCGTCCCCGCAAGCATTCGGGGAAGCATACCTTACGGCCCCTGATGGTGGGAGCAGTCCCAAGCCAGCTTACGTGGCTCGTCAGAAATGCGCTAATATGCTTTGGAAATTTCTTGGATTCTTTCCAGGGCAACACGGCATTACTTATCTCTACCATGCTAAGAACTTAGTAATGCTTTTTTTTCCTGAAATTTCGAAAATGTTGCATTTCAGTTGGTTGTGATGGTCGCTGTGAGGAAGCTGATGGAGAAATTCTTCACTACGACTGATTTGAAGTACTTGGATGACCCGATGCCCGATTTCCATCTCAGAAAGAAGGAGGATCTGAAGAGACGACAGAGTGTAGTTGGTTTACGCAAAGTCCTAGGAGACTATAAGGCAATAGGTCTTTCTAGGAAACGGTTGACATAGAGCTTGAGGACAATCAGGCGACTATCCATGCAGTGAAGACAGAGGCGCATCTCCACATTCCAATGGCTAGTGGCAACGTGATCAAGATTCCGTTGGCAGCCATTCAAGAACCGAGTCATTCGATCAATATGACGAAAGAAGTGAGACATGGACTTTTCTGCTTCTATTCTTGTGATTTCTATTTGGTTTGTGCAGGTCAATAGCAGCGGTATGTGGAAGCACATTAGTTCGCGCGACTCGAAAAATTCCCTCGATAAGGAAATGCCGAAGACTGCAGTGTGAGTTCTCTTTTGAGTCAATATCTTATTAATATGCTTATTCTTGAATGTGCAGTTGGGTCTATTCCATTTAGGAGGGGTCCCATGATGACCATTTTGAGAAAGTACTCGAGGAGGGGGAGTTTAGCAGAACTAGGAGTGGAAGGGGAGTCACTTGACATGGCGTAGAAAGCTGTCACATGCTCAACTTTACATTAGCTCCCCGAGAACTGCATCAGGTGATCCGCTTAAGTGACCTCTACAGTTCCTATCAGGGCTCTGACATCCACCCAGTTGTGCAACAGAATTTTAGCTACGTAGGTTCTGTACGCAATGATTAATTGCATCAAAATATCGGGTACCCAACAGGAGGCCTGTCGCGCAGCGAGAAGTCAGAGACGGGTCAGCGGATGAATTGCAGAGCGTGATGTGCTATGTAGGACGTACCATAGTATGTTGTATTCATGTTCACGCGAAATCACTGCAAAACCCGCTGCAACTCGTCCGCTGACCAGCCTGCGTCTCTCTGCCCTCCCGCCGCGCGACGGGCTCCTGTCTCCACCCGTGTGGGGTGGAGATCCCAAAAAAACTCGTGTGATATTTGATGCTGCTCATTACTTTAAGCAACGCCTGCGTTGCTAAGTTTCCATCAGCACTCACCTCCATAACGGAGAGTTGCGGGTACATAGGTGATATGCGAGCTTTCCAGAATGCCTCTTTTTATTTGCCTAAGCTTCACAGCTAATTGTAAATCAGGCATGTCTCGTCTTTGATGGGCAAACCTTTCTTTCCCGCGGCCGAGAATACCCGCAAAATTGACAACACATGTGGTTCAGATACCATCAAGTGCATCAAAAAATCCCACGTAATACGCGACTTTTTTAAATTTCGTTTGATAGTTGTACTGCAGACCTGCAATGAGAGGTGGTCGGCTTCGGTCAACCAAGTATAATTCAAGGGCCGGTAGAGCGAGAAAACGATCGGAAGGTAGAGCTTGCTACGATAACATGATAATCTGATGTGAATCGCTCTGCTCGGCGGTTCCATGGCTCTTTTTTATCTGGCTGGAATCGGCGACAGCAGCTGCGTTGTGGAATCTCCCAGAAAAACTAGAGAGTGATAATAGGGCAAGAACACAAGAGGAAACGGAGTGAAACGGCATGCTTCATATTCACTTATTTTTTTATTCTGTCACCTCTATCTGGAACCCTAAAATGTGCTATTTCATATTCGGAAGTTTTAGGCAAAATGATGCCCCTCTGGAAACACCTGAAGAGGACGAGGATGCAATCATGATAAAAGTACGTCGAGTTTGTGACTTCTTCTTTCCTTCGTTTTTTTGATTATTTCTCATATGACTTTATTCTTGGTTTAGTCAATGGGAAACAACTAACTCGCTGACAAAGCAGTTTGCGCGGTTAGTGCAGATATGAGTGATGACGTTGTTGAAGACCATTGTTTTGAGTGGTGGTGATAGCCATATGCAGTCGACTTGTGCTCCTCTCCCATTAAATAGTGGATTGAATTTCGATTGAACCCAAAACCATTCAACACTATCACGACGCAATACAGTGCAAAGCCATGGCGCAATGATGTGTTTTGGCGGTAGAAGGTGTTTTTTGAACGGGTAGCGCGCCGCACAAAATTGCTGCTCGTCATGCACAATCCTACGCGGGTGAATTGCGAGACAATTTCTTATTCCTTAATGCCAGTTGCCTCGCAATTTGTTCTCGCCAACGGCAATTTTGCACGGCTCACACGGACCGGTGGCACGCAGCTGGCGAGTCTATCCGATGCGCTTTGCGCTGTGTCGCGTTAAACGAGGGCGAAGTTTGGCTTGAGCGTTATGCCTGATCATTTTGCTATAGCTGCGTGGTGAATTTGAAGTGAAGAGCCGTGGCTGTTCCTCTTGGTGAGAATCATCTTCAGATTAGCTCGACCTTCTTGAAAAGCAAAGGGTACTAATGGCGGATTTCCATACGGATTGTGTAAGACGATAGTTGACATAGCGAGCATTTACTGCTGATCTCTTTCCGAAATTACTTTAGTTCTCTCCAGTTTGATGACTCCTTTTCGAATTCAGCACTTATTTTGAGAGACAGAGAAGAGAGTTTGGAGGCATAGAAAATTACCAGCGGCAATATGCGGCGTGGAGTTATCAACAAGAAAATTCTGTTGCTGTGCCAAAGAAAGAACAGGTCTAATTGTCACTCTGACCCAGTAGCAATGACCTATATTCGCCTTGGGACATTGATTTCGAATCTGCTTCCGTTATATGCGGAACGATTTTCCGAAAGAAGTTATGAAGCAGGAATGCGCTGTGGTAGCTGACCCTGACTCCAGACAACAGGTCATGGGTTCGACTCCAGTGCGAGTCCATACTTTTGCTCTCCTCAGAAATATGTCGTTTCCCTGGGTATCTTTCCTGAAAGAGCAATATTGCGGACTTTTAATGAGTTGATCCCACAACCTTTTGCCTGCGAGTCAGGGCCACTACCGCTGCCTTCCCCGCCGCATAATCTCTCTCAGGAAATCGTTCCGCAAACAGTGGAAGGAAGTTTGATTTTGACATCTCATTTTGAATGGCCGGAACTCATTGACCTTTCCTTGTGAGAAAATACCTCTTGGTACAATTAAACCAGTCTATCATGTGAAACTTTGACAGAACAATCTCCACGGCGTTTTGAGTCTGCTCAAGTAGTAGCCTTAAAGGGTGCAGCTGTATTTATCGTGCTGATAAATTTGATAATCGGAAGATTGAAAAGCATCACAAGGAACAGCCGTGGACTGGCTTGCTCGTCGCTTGCATGGACACGGTCGTTCAATGTTACTTTTGTGCGCTGTATGCTTCTACGCAGCCGCCTACAAAGCATGCTGTGTGCATAGAAAACCCAACAATCAGCGCTATTTCTTTTTTTCACAAACGACAGGATCAGGGTTTAATCTCTGATCTGTATTAAATTATTAGGGATTATTAGGGTTCCATAAAAGGCACTATTTCTGAGAAATAGTTGAACGCATCACCTCACACCTTTCAAAGTGCAGGACTTCTGAGTGGAGCTATCGACTCATCACAGCAAGCGAGAAACGTTTAAGTCGATTGAAGATATGTTGGTCCAAGAATGTTCGCATGGCGCATCATCCCAACTTCTTAGGATTGCGCCGTTGCTATTATGGACAGCAGGCAAAAAATATTCTATGAATACAAACATTTTTGTGGGTTGAGTGTGCTATGAAGAGAAAGTCTAAATCTGGAACTATCTCAAAGTATCACAACGACAAATGTCATGCTTCGAGAGTTTTTGAGCCATTGGGGCTTAAGGTGGTTGTCCATGATTGTAACAGTTGCGCATAGAGATTGAACATGTGAATGCTCGGTATTTGTAAAGTTGCCGTAGAATGAAATAGTCTTTATAGGTAATTCGACCGTCTCCTCATGGATCTTCTACGAATCTGTCAGAAAGCCAGCCGTTACTCAAGGACAAGAACAACGACAAAACGCCGCCTGTTTAAGCAGTTGTCACCAAGCAGTATAACGTTTGTATTGTTCATGTTGCATATGCCTTATGTTTGCATGTTTTCAAAGAGGAGCTGCCCAGTGGGAGCTTCCGCCTTCAGGCATGGGGAAAACTTTCGGGGAGCCTCCATTATTACAGCATAGTTGCTACAAGTAGACGTCGTTGAGCAGAGTTCAGGGGTGAAAATATGTTTATGCGGTTGTTCTTTGTAGACAAGCATTGTTCCATGAGTTACATCGATTGATGTACGCGAAGATTCCGTTGAGTGACTTGTGGGCTATGCTGTGTTAGATAGAGCAATAGAGTTCAGTGACGATTGTTAGTGCTTAGCGTCGGACGACGTGCAAAGGAGCGTCTCGGAAGGTGGACTTGGGTATGTTTGGGTTTCTACGCCCACATAGCTGAGCCCTTATGTGCAAAGGGTTCCACAAATTGACACACCATTGCGCGCCGTCATCGTTTCGTAGACAT